AGTTCTGCTTTAGTTGAATCCCACATTTTTTGACAAACCCTATCTCAATTTTAACATTTGGTTCAAAATATTTTCCAGTTTCCACTATAATTTCTTCTATGATCTTGGATTATTTTAAAACATTAATTTCAAGGTAATTGCAGATTCCCTATTTATATTTCTGTTGAAAGTTAGCTTAATTGTACCATAATTGGAGAATATCCTCCAAAATGATTTCAATCTTCTTATTTGTTGAGTCTAAGTTCAGAGTTAATTTTTCCAAAAGCTCCATATATACTTGAGCAAATATGTCTTCTAACATCATTGGGGGTGGTATTATATGTAAACACCAACTAGTTCAGATTTTTTTGTTGTGCTGTTCAAAATCTTCCACCTATTAAAAACACTGATTGTGGGTTTGTCCACCTCTTTTAATCATTGTGTTTTTCCCTTTATATAATTTGAAGCTTTTAGTAGACACTGATTTGTTTTCTCTATTGCTGGTGATGGATTGGTTTTCATTATGAAATCTCTCATAATGCTTTTGGCTGATAGTATCTTAGTACATCATCAACCCTAAAATAGCAATTCTTGTTATATTTTTAAAAATCCATTGGACCAAATCTTTACCTTCCCTTTACTAAAAAGTGAAACTTAAAAAAACCAACCAGCCTGAGCTACCCTATAAAACTTGTTCAAGGAAACACAGTTTGGAGCCAGCATTTAATCCTCAGATTTTAAGACTCAAACAAATCTTGTATTGAAAGCATAAGTCTGATAAGGAATTATGAAGAGACAAGGTTATCTTCCAGGGTATACAATGGTCAACAAAATGACAAAACTTGACCAACTTGTCCCAAGTGACAATCTCATGAGTATAAACTAATCCTTACAACTCTAGGTGTGGTCCATGGCAGCTTTGGCAGCTTTCTCCAGGTGGCAGGTCAGATCCACAGCTGACACATTGGGGGTGGGGACACGGAAGGCCATGCCAGTGAGCTTCCCGTTCAGCTCAGGGATGACCTTGCCCACAGCCTTGGCGGCGCCAGTGGAAGCAGGGATGTTCTGGGCAGCCCCTCGGCCGTCACGCCACAGCTTCCCAGAGGGGCCATCTACGGTCTTCTGGGTAGCAGTGATGGCATGGACGGTGGTCATGAGGCCCTCCACGATGCCGAAGTGGTCATGGATGACTGGCTAGAGGAGCCAAGCAGTTGGTGGTGCAGGAGGCACTGCTGACAATCTTTTTTTTCTTTTTTTTTTTTTCTTTTTTTTTTTTTTATGATAGTCACACACACACAGAGAGAGAGAGAGAGGCAGAGACACAGGCAGAGGGAGAAGCAGGCTCCATGCACCGGGAGCCCGACGTGGGATTCGATCCCAGGTCTCCAGGATCGTGCCCTGGGCCAAAGGCAGGCGCTAAATCGCTGCGCCACCCAGGGATCCCTTTTTTTTTTTTTTTTTTAATTTCACTGCTGACAATCTTGAGGGAGTTGTCATACTTCTTGTGGTTCACGCCCATCACAAACATGGGGGCATCAGCAGAAGGAGCAGAGATGATGACCCTCTTGGCCCCGCCCTTCAAGTGAGCCCCAGCCTTCTCCATGGTGGTGAAGACCCCAGTGGACTCCACAACATACTCAGCACCAGCATCACCCCATTTGATGTTGGTGGGATCTTGCTCCTGGAAGATGGAGATGGACTTCCCGTTGATGACAAGTTTCCCGTTCTCGGCCTTGACTGTGCCGTGTAATTTGCCGTGGGTAGAATCATACTGGAACATGTACACCATGTAGTTGAGATCAATGAAGGGGTCATTGATGGTGACAATATCCACTTTGCCTGAGTTAAAAGCAGCCCTGGTGACCAGGCGCCCAATACGGCCAAATCCGTTCACTCCGACCTTCACCATCGTGAAGCTGCATTAGCCACTTTCTAAGTGCTGTCAGAATTTTGCTTTAACTTCAAAATTTTAACAATACCATAAAAGTCTAAGGTGTTCATAATAAAATGAAGTAGTTGCTTGTCAGCATTCCTTAATGCCCAGTGGCAATCAATTTTAAATTATTTAACAACTTGTTTTATATCTCAGGATTTTAAAATATGTTCACACTAGTTACTGGAGTTACAAATTCTAACCATTATTAAGTCCCTATATTTACAGATGAGATTTAGCTCTTTTCTACACCCTATATGCCTTATCATATTTATAGCTAATATTTAAGTCTTAGGCAAATATTCTCTATATAATCGGAGTATCATGATTACATTATCTTTCCTATTAGATCTTGTTTTTCCTGAAGCTATTGATAATTTGTCTCCTGATTTCCTATAATTCTATCCTTAACGGTTTTAAAATTAATCACAACTGTCAAGTATCGTTTTCCCTTTTCCCCACTCCTTCAAGGTCATGTTTAAAGATCATCTCTTCAATAACGCCTTCCTCCAAGAGAATGACTTCCTTATGTGAATATTCCATTACAAACATATTTTTAGTAATGAGCTTTGAGAGCAGAGCTGTTTTATTTACTTTTATATCCTAAGGAAGATGATGCTCATACAGCTTTATAAAATGCTAATTAAATGTATGCTACCGTATAAAAATTAACTTCTGGAAAGCCAACCAGGGTTATTTTTCCCTTAAAGTACCAAAAACAGCCCTCAGCAACTTTTACCATAGCTATTTCCTATCAGCAGCACTGTACACCGTAGAGTCACAGAAGTATATTAACAGTACACTTAGTGCATTAGATATATTTAGTGCATCTACATCATTAAATTTAGTAAGGTTTGCCAATGAACATCCTTCCTATCCCACGAAATTTAATCAGGAGTTCAAAAATTCAAACTACATCTTATTATCTCTCCCTACCAGAGAGTCAGTTATTTCTCTCCAAATATTGCCTGACTACAATCTTTCTGTCCTACTGAGATTGGTAAAGCTGAAGAGTGATAAGAAGTTAGGTACCTGAGTCTAGAGTAATACATTTTAAAGGTGTATGTCAAAGTTTAAGACTCAGAGAACAGGGGTGCCCGGGTGGCTACATTGGTTAAGGGTCCCAGGAACAGGTCACGGAGTCCATTTCCCCCGCTTAGGAGGGAATTCTGTTTGTCCCTCTCATACTGCCCCTCCTCCTTCCCCTGCTCCTGCTCTCTTCTTAAATAACATCTTTAAAAAAAAACAAACAAACCCTCAGAGGACTGAGTATGTAAGTGATGCAAGAATAGGAGACAAAATAAGGTATAGTTCTTTTTTAGATTTAATAGAATCTTCCTCAACTTAATGAGAATTAGCACTCTTGCACATTCAGTCATAAAATTCATCTTTATTTGTAACAGATGACGGAAAATCTGATTACATGAAATGCAGTACATTTGTACCCACCCACTACAAGATAATTACAGGGCATGCACAAGCAAAGATGTGGGGGGCACACAGTATTTTCATACCAAATTCAAGATACTGAGTAGCAAGGAAATACAGCGGACAGAAAGCCGGGGTGACGTACACGCGTCAATAAGGTAAAGCAGCAGAATTCAAGATGTACCCAGCCAGACACGCCAGGTCTTGGAAGACGGAATTCATTTCCGACACGGCACTGTCCGTGCCTCTCTGTTTGGGGGCAGAAGTCGGCCCTAGCAGGTCTGTAAAAGTCTGCAGACAGGACTGCGCGTTCGGTCGACTTGGATTCGGGCCAGACCCAACAACTGCGCAGGCCTACTTCGCAGAGACCAATCCTCGATGCAGAGGCGCCGCCTTTTCGCATTCTCAATAGCTCTCCCGGGACAGAAGTTACGCCTTGACTGCCGGGACTGCTGCTCTTCGCCGCTTGCTTTGCAAACACCTGCGTCTCGCGGGTTGCTTAAAGGGCTACGAGTCAGACTCGGCACAAAATCCTGGCGGGGCGAGCGCGGACGCCCAGCCTGCCGACCGCGAGACCTGCCGAGACCGCACAGCCCGGCTGCGGAGCCCAGGACGCAAGCCCTTGCCCCGCTTCCCTTCTAAGGGGCCTCGCGCACACGCGCGTCGCTAGGGCCGGCGGAGCTAGCTCGGCCCGGAGCCCCCGACAGGCAGCGGCTTCGTCTTTCAGGCACCCACACGGGCAAGGCGGCGCGGGAAGGCACGGTTTCCAAGCCCGGTCGGCCTGGGGTCGGAGACGCGCAAGCGCACACCGACCGCTTCGTCCTCTCCGCCCTGCACACTTCCTCCGACTTTGCCAGAACGGGAGGCAGAGCCGGTAGGGGGATGGACGGGGGGGGGGGGGGGGGGATGGGGGGATGGAGGGGGGATGGAGGGAGGGGGGATGGGGGATGGGGGAAGGATGGGGATGGAGGGGGTGGGTGGGGGGATGGATGAAGGGGGTGGGTGGGGGGATGGGTGCGGGGGCGGATGGTCGGGGGCAGACAGCCATCTCAGAGACGGAGGGCGGCACGGACTTTCACCGTGGGCCTTAAAAGCGAGAGCGGAAGGGCCACGTCGGCGAGGGCTGGAGCCACGTGCGCGCCAGCCGCGCCCCAGCCGCGCCCCAGCCGCGCCCCAGCCGCGCCGTCGGACCCCCGGCCAGAGAGCAGGGCCCGCCGCGCCTCGCCCCCCACCGCCGTCTGTCCCGGCCCCGCCGGCCCCCGCTTCGCCCGCCCAGCCGCGCCCCCGACGCGGTACTTACGCGGAAGTTGGAATCCCCGGGCCGCCGCCGAGTCCCTCGGGAGGCGCGACCCCGCCCCTCCCCCGCCCGCCCCGGCGGGGCGCACGCCGCCGCCCCCCGCCCGCCCCCTCGGGAAGCGCCGCGGACCGAGCTGCCGCCCGCCGCGGGCATCTCCTCCGCCAGTGGGAGCCCCGGGGCCGCCCCGCCCCGCCGCCGCCGCCGCCGCCGCCGCGACCGCGACCGCGACCGCGACCACGACCGCCCGGCTCGCGCGGCGTCCCCGGGTCACTGCGGCCCGGCGCTCCAGAGGCGCGCGGCGCCGCGCAACCGCCGACCCTGCCAACCGCCGCTCGCGCGGGGCTCCCGCCGGCGCCAACGTACCTCGGGCGGCGCCGCGCCCGCCGCCTCCCGCGCCGGCAGCCCCGCCGACAGCAATCGCCGCGCACAATGAGGCTCCAGCCAGCGCGCGCCGAGGTGAGTCTGCCCGCGCCCGCCCCCCGCCGGAGGCGCAGCCAATGACGGCGCGAGCGTGCGGCGGCGCAGCCAATCAGGGGCGCCCGGGCGGAGTGGGCGGGGCTGGGAGGGGGCCGCGGCCGGAGGTGTGGAAGTCTGCTGCGGGGTGCCGGCAGCTCGCTCCCCGACAAAGCCGCCGGGGGCGGGGGCGGGGCTGGGGCGGGGCCTGGGAAGGGGGTGGGGCCGGGGCGGGGCCGGGCTGCCGCTCCGCGGGGCTCGTGCGACGCTGCTGGCGTTACCAGGGCAACCTTGTTTGCAAAAACCCATTTGAATGTTCACAGTCTGGCCTTTAGCATTTTATTTACCGGGATTGCGGAGTTGGGGGGGGCCGCTCCTTAAATTGTGCGAGCCGGGCAGGCGGGCCAGGCCCACCCAGTGGCATTTTCTGGAGTTTCCTGCGGTTTGTCCTGGGAACCTGCCCCTCACCCCCCCCATCCCCCACCCACCATGCACCCCCCCCCCACCCCCAGGCTGCATTGGGTTTCCTGAAGCGGTTAAGGCCCTCGGTGGGATTGCTGTGCGTCCAGGCAGTTCTGAGTGCCCTCTCTGTGCTCGAGGCTGACCCAACGAACAAGGGTCAGCTGTGCGGTAAAGCCCTTCTGGTCGCCAAGGGAGAGCTGCTCTGCCTTGGAACAGTCACTGGCCACGAGAAAAAGGAGAGGAGGCCTGACATTCCAGAAGGCTGGGTCATGAGCACAATAAAGTACCCAATGGGTTCCCAAAACCAGGTCCAGGGATTCTGGAAGGGGGGGAGGGTGTCCACAAAGTCAATACTATTTTTTTTTAAATAGATGTTATTTGTCCCCCTTACCCCTCCCCCTTTTTTTCCATTTTCGTTCCGGTGGTCTCAGGTGTGTTCAGTGTATTTTTCTAGAAATTTCTGGAAAAGTGTTAGGTGCTATTGCAACATCTGCAAAGGCAGAAACAGACACGAGAATCCGATGATCTGAGGTCAAACACTAAGGAAATGGGCGAAAAATGCAAACCAGTGCCAATCCTTGCACAACTGTTTTTGTTTTGGAAAAGTGATTTTCAATATAGTTGAAGAGTATACATAGGGTTGCTGAGAAAAAAAGAGAGGGTTTGGGAGGCAAGTGAATTGGAGCCAGACAAAGAATTTGGACTTAATTCAAAGAGTGAGAAGTAGCCTTTAGAAATGTCATGTCCATTTAGGGTAATAGTATATCTTGTGTGCCTTTTTTTTTTATTTTAAAGTAAGCTGTATGCACAACATGGGACGTGAACTCACGACCTTGAGATCAAGAGTTACATGCTCTACAGGCTGAGTCCACTGGGCTTCCGACTTATAAAACTGTGACACAACAACTGAGCGTTATTTTAAGCCACTAAATTTGTAGTGATTGGTTACGGGGACAATAGAAAATTAATACTAGCATTCTTTCTCATACTCCTCTCAGCAATCCCAGGGCCAGGGCTAGAATCCTGGGAGCTGCGTTTCCCAGATGCCCCATGGCCACTGCTCTGGATTTATTGTCATTTTGCCAAGTAGGACAACGCTTTCTGAGTTTTGGAAAGTAGAAGAAAGACATAAATTGCCATTCTGTATATTTTGCTTGGGCTTTGGCTCTCTTCCCTGCCAGTCCCTGCTTCAGTGATATAAGGCAGCTGTGACAATCAAATGTGTTTTTTTCTGAGCTTTTTTGGCAGCAACAGCCTCAGCTTCCCTACTCCTTGGACCACAGAAGCTGTGGTTCAAATAAAACCAATGTAACAGTCACCCCTCCGGCCCTTCCAAAGGCTTTTTTCCTCCTAAAGAATTTTAAGCACCAAATTCTCTGCACAAAATATCATTATGCTTGACATTTCTGCAGTGGTTTCTATTTTCTTGATTGTACTCTAAGCTATACCTCAGTTTCCTTATCTATAAAGTGGAAATTACCAATACAAGAAATATAGTAAAAAGTAACCTCTTAGAAAAAGGGGGGGGCGAAGCAACCTTTTAGAATTATTGCATGGATTAAATTACATGGATTAAATCCATGTAAAGCCTATAATAAAGCATTTAACACACAGTAGGTGCTCAATGAATGTTTATCACTATTTTTTTGTGGAGAGCTATTCATGTGATTACTAAATGGGCACTACTAAAAACTAGGTTTTTTTGCCTTTTTCCTAACCTATCTGTCAACATTCCTACCTTAACATACACGTTGGGGTACCTGGATGGTTCAGTTGGAGGAGAGTGCGACTCAATGTCTAAGTTGTCGATTTGAGCCTCACTGGGTGTAAAGCCTACATAATTAAGAAAAAAGATTTAAAAAACATACAAATTGTTACTACTTTATCTAATGGAGAATTCTAGCAGCCATAAAATACAACGTCTGAAGTCAATATTATAGGGGTGCCTGGGTGGCTAAGTTGGTTAAATATCTGACTATCCGACTGGTAATTTTAGCTCAGGTCATGATCTCAGGGTGGTGAACTCAAGCCCTACATCAGGGACTATGCTCAGGGGGAGTCTGCTTGAGATTCTTTTCTCCCTATGCCCCTCCCCTTGTGTGCATTGTGCATGCTCTCTCTCATTCTCTTTCTAAAATAAATATATCTTAAAAAAAAAAAAGAAGTCAGGATTATATATAGTTCTCAATACTGTCGACTGAAAAACATTTCTGGAGTTAGACAATTTATTATTATCTTGAAGTTTTTTTGTTTTTTTGTTTTTAGTATGATTATTGTGATGGTTAAATTTTATGTGTCAACTTGGCAAGGCTGTGTGTGCTCAGTTGTTTGATCAAATATCATTCTAGATTTTGTTGTGAATATATTTTGTAGATTTTTTTTAATTTTTATTTATTTATTTTATGATAGTCACAGAGAGAGAGAGAGAGAGAGAGAGAGAGAGAGAGAGAGAGGCAGAGACATAGGCGGAGGGAGAAGCAGGCTCCATGCACTGGGAGCCCGATGTGGGATTCGATCCCGGGTCTCCAGGATCATGCCCTGGGCCAAAGGCAGGCGTCAAACCGCTGCGCCACCCAGGGATCCCCATATTTTGTAGATTTAATGATAGCTACAAATCAGTTGACTTTAGATAGAGCCAATATGTAAAGATTAAATTTGTGTTGAGATACAAGGGGAGGGAAGGAGCTGTATAAAAGCAGGGTTTGTGTACTATTGAAGTTAAGGTGATATTAATGCAAAATAGATTGTAATAGGTTTAAGAGTCTATAATCTCCCAGGGTAACTAGAAAGACAATAACGTTTAACATGTTCAGAGAAAAGGAAATGAGAATGGAAAAAAAAAGGTACACTTTAAAAAAATCATGTAAACAGAAGAAGGCAGGATTGAAGATACTGAAGAATGACAAGAAAAAAAGAGAGAAATAGCAAATGGAGAACAATAAGATTTTCCTTATCAGTAGCTACTTTAAATGTAAATGGATTAAACTCTCTAAAAGTAGAGATAGATTGGGGCACCTGGGTGGCTGAGTCCGTTCAGTGTCCAACTCTTGCTTTCAGCTCAGGTCATGATCTCAGGGTTGTGAGATTAAGCCCCACATTGGGCTCTGTGATCAGCGGGGAGTCTGCTTCATCAGACTCTCTACCTCCCCTCGCCCCCCCCCCCCCCCCGCTCAGTCTCTCTAAATAAATAAGTAAAATCTTAGGGGAAAAAAAGTAGAGCTAGTTTGACAGAATAGTTTAAAAAACAACCATTACCATGACCCCATTATATGCTAAGAGACTCAGCTGAGATCTAAAGACACAAGTAGATTGAAAATAGGTAATTCCAGGCAAACAGCAACCAAAAGAGCATGTGGGGTGGCTATACCAATATTAGACAAAATAGATTTATAGTCAAGAACTGTTTCAAGAGACAGAGAAGGATATTAAATATTAATAAAAAGATCGGTCCATCCAGTCATAAACATATTCACTCCTCACAACAGAGCTAAAAAATATATGAAGCAAAAATGGGTAGTACACAAGGGAGAAATAGACAATTCTGCAACAGTCACAGGAGATGCCACTTTCAGCAATGGTTATAACAACTGAAAGGTCAGTAAGGAAATAGAGAGCTTGAACAACAGTATAAATTAACCAGACCTAACAGACCTATGAAGGATATCTGATATCAAAACAGGAAAATGATCACCTTCACATGCACACGGAACAGTTCTCCAGGACAGACCAGATGTTAGGCCACAATACAAGTCTTAGAAACATTGAAAAAGATTGAAATCACAAAAGGATCTCCTCTGGCCACAGTGAAATAAAACTAGAAATCAGTAACAAAAGGAAAACCAGAAAAGCATCCGTGTATGTACAACTTAACCACATGTTCTTAAACAACCATTGGGCCAAAGAGGAAATCAGAAAATACTTTGACATGAGTGAAAATGAAAACACAATAACCAAAACTTAGGGGTTGTGGGGGGAGGGGAGTTGCAGAGAAAACAGGGTTCTGAGAAAAATCTAGAGATCTAAATGCCTATGTGAGAAGAAAGATCTCAAATAAATAACCAAACTTTACACCTTAAGGAACTGGAAAAAGTTCCTAAACTAAAACCAAAAGCTAGGGATCCCTGGGTGGCTCAGCGGTTTAGCGCCTGCCTTCGGCCCAGGGCGTCATCCTGGGGTCCTGGGATCGAGTCCCACATTGGGCTCCCTGCGTGGAGCTTACTTCTCCCTCTGCCTGTGTCTCTGCTTCTCGCTTTCTTTGTGTCTCTCATAAATAAATAAAATCTTAAAAAAAAATAAAACCAAAAGCCAGCAGAAGGAAGAAATAATAACAATCGGAGCAGAGATAGATGAAATACAGAGCAGAAAATAGAATCAATACAAGGCTATTAGGACCACAGAATTTTCCTACTCTTGTGCTTTCCTACTGACTTCACAGACAACAAATCATACATAATCCAAGTCTAATCTTGATAAAGGATGATCCATTTAGCAA